ACAGCCCTGCAAATAGGAGTAGAGAATACGGTCTCTAGGGCCGGTAGGGATGATTCCAGCGCCAACTCAAGTAGATGTATTGTTTCTTTTTGCAGGAAAAATGGACAAGATAACGAAAAGCTGTGATATTTGCCAAATGCTCGATAGAACTTGCTTACCACCATCGATACGTTAATCTTGATCAGAGATATGTTTCAAATTACAGGTCCGGTTGGCTCCGGGGTCTGTGCAATACGTATCCATATTAACTCGTTCAAACAGCTTACCCCCTTATACCTACGCAATCATTGTAACTAGTTCAAATCAATAAGGGTCGGAGGAAATGTGGACCCTGCAACGTCGATCAGCGATGATAGTCTGTTCAGTGTCAAGGAGAATCACATAACACCATTTTACATCCAACTGTGTTCGTATTCACTTTTATGGGGTACTTTGTAGAGCTTGACAAATTTATACGCATAGTCGGTTTGGGTCTTACGTGAACATTTAGAAATTGCTTGTTGATACGTTTCATTGTGTTCACTGTTCATTTCATCCAGGTTGGAACAGTCTATCAGCCGATTCGACGTACAGTGCACTGCGGTTATCAGTGAACAAAGAATACCCGTACAAGCTGTTTTGGCCTAAACTGCTGAGCTCAAATCCTGCCTTGTTTGCCATCCACACTGTACATTAATCACCAGAACCTTTCAACTTACATCCTAATTTCACCAAATTTTCTAGTTGAAAGATATCTTACTGAACTGCTATCCCCTACTTTAAAGGTCGGCCAAACTGGCAGACTAACCACTAGTTAGCTTGACGATGCGTTTGGCTTGAGAGCGAAACGTTTTCCAGAAGCAAACCAGCTAATCGTTCATAAAGCCCTTCTGAAATAATGGTTTGCTCAATGTAATTTTCCTCCGGTGTGTACATAATACGAAGGGACAAAATAGGTTCGGATGAAGATCACTAAGTCTGTCAATGACGTTCGTATCTATACCGATAAATGCCTACTTTACTGTGCCGAGACCCCGTAGTTCAGGTTAAATAAACAATTATCATACGCATTACAGAAACAAAAATGTTGGATAGTAGGAGAAGGGAGATATAGTCAGATTTCTGATGGGAAATGTTCTTTATGGAGAATATAAGCAGTGACATATGAGGGTACGCAAATATGCTGTGATAAACCTATGCAGTTGTCACTGAAATAAGATGTCATAGAAATAGGAACAAACGGGTCTACGCGGGTCAGTAGGCCTTGGTTGTGAAAGTCACATATAGCTGTGCTATCACTTTTCTGGGAAACGCTTAGTGGAGAGACGCGTTCAACATTAAGCGCAAAAAGATTTCATTTTTTAGTGAAAAAATTAACGTGTATCTTCCAGTCCGAATGAGAAGACATGGGGCTGAGTGATTGGAAGCTTGACAAAATCGAATGAAACTTTACTTTGCAAAGCAGCTCTGTGAGTAGTTTTCTTTAAGAACTCATAACCTGGCTTAGCTGAACGATGGTTAGAACAAAGCAATGGGAGTCAATGAATATGACTGTTGCACGTAGATGTAGTGTTGAGATTCCCGATACGAAGCTTTGGGTCACGTGTAGGCTTGACGATAGTGAATATTAAAGGAAAAATTGGGTTCGAAAATCTGCGGTACTATTGTGACAAAATTATACAGCAACTCTCAATTGTCCACGTTCGCGGCGTCAACAAATGCTGTCACTGACCAGCACAGCGGAGTTTCAAGGTTCGCAAACCAAGCAACGGCGAGTGGAATGTTGGCTCCGTAATGTGGGTTGAGGTCGTCCTTTCCGAGGCCAGAATCACGATTCTGATTGTCAGTTGGATCACACAGAAATCATGACAGAACAGGTCAGGGCAGGTTCAGCAAACTGGGCACGAACACGCATGGGTAGGCAGGTCAGCTAAGCCCACTCACACACATACACACACCGGTGTTGGAAGGACATTGCGGCAAGTCATGTCCGGCAAGCAAAACGAGTATGCAAATGAATTGGGGAATGATCATGAAGCCATGTTAGATTCGAATGAGTATTACTACCTGTACCAACATTAGGTACGACAAAATCCGACCTGTTATTGAGTATGCGACTTTCAACCAGATGTGCATATCTGGACGGGCAGTAGATGATAGACAGATTTGTTTTAAGTAGATGAGTTTTAGTAGACGAGTCCCTCCTATTGCCATTTTTCATTTTTCATTTGTATGACTCCGAAAAATACACCAAAGCTACGGTGTGATTTTTTATCATATTTTTAGTGTTTAGTTCCTCCACAAAATCCTAGGATTGTAAACCAAGTTAGTCGCGGGATTTTCTCACTTAGTCTGGGGGCTCGGCCTTGTGCGATTGGATGGCCTAAACGAAACTGGTGTTGTCTTTTAACTGCACTATGCAACCCCTTATAACATTGTTAGATTTTTTAGTTTTGTATCCACCCGTTATACGAGGAAAATACAGTACTATGGAGGAATGTGAATGTTAACATTGAGCTTTTTACGTTTTAACAAAACGGCGCTCTATTTAGCAACTGTGTATGCGATTCTCGAACGGGACTCTGGTGGGTGAAAAATCAGAACCAATTAGTCGCGAATACCAACAATATCGCATCCACCTGTGCTACCCACATCGCGTCAAGTATTTTTAACTTTACCTTAGCATTCACCTCCAGATACATCGTATCATCACATGGAGAAATCCTGGTTAAGAATCGTTGTTTTAACGGAATAAAGGTTGGGTCGGTTGCCACTTAGTATCGCGATCGTGTGAGGCAAAGATCACTAAAGAATAATGTTTAGGTTGCTATCGATGAGCACTTTCATTCACCCGATTTGGAAGGGGGTTTGGTTGGCAAGACAGTCACGTGATGGCCAAATACTATTGATTGTATCCATGAGAGAACACTGTAAAAGGTCTTCGTACAGTCTAGAAGCAGTAAAGAAGACTGACTTAGTGTATGTGTATATATCCAGCGTAGATGATTAGCGACAAACCAGACTACATGAGATTCTAGAAATCCGGCCGGAACGTATACAACCGTAAATGTGCACATCTTCGAGAAACAACTTGTGTTTCAAGGTTGCTATCATTTGCACAGAACTGGTTTCGGCTAACCCGCAGCTAAAATTTATTACCCTACTGTTGAACTCGACTGAACAGAGATCAAGAGGGCTCTATGAGCATATCAATGTATAATTTAAGGAATACTGCTTACATCAGATCGTCTTCTCCAAAAGTGACTCAGTCAAGCATTCAAAATGCGGTGTACCTTAATAGGATACAGAATCATGGATCCGTGGCATTTTAGTGGTCGGCATGCAAATTGCGTTACTGGGTTTAATACTAGGTTTCTGATATTTTCCCAAATGATCGTGTTTACGACAAAGATAGATTAATAGGCTCCATAAAGCTGAATAGAGGTAGAAGAACCACTCCAACAGCAGTGACGGAAACAGTAGAACCAGATTGCAAACTAGCCTACTAGTGCATGTGGCCTCAATGAATTCATCTAATATAACCGGCGCTGTTCGAATGTCGAGAGTATTGGTATTTTGTTTGTTGCAGATGAAGTTTGTTTGAAAACGAAGTAAGATTATTCATATTCAAGAGGATCAGCTACAGCAGAGTTTCGGAGACTCCTTCCTTTTAATAGCAATTTCGTTTCCTTTGGGGTACAATCATGGCAATAACCATAGTAAATAGCGTGAAACGGCTTTCTCATATCAGTTAAGTTCTTTTTGAAAAGCTCAGATCAAAGAAACTTGTCATGAGTCCGACTTGTGTCAGTTGACGCATCCCATTGTTTCCATTTTTATGGCTTCCGGCGTTTTTGGTTTTAGTCCCAGTGAGTCAGTGCAGCAATGTAACAATGTAGACAACGAGCGAGAGGCATGGGATCGATTCCTATGGATAGGTTCACCAATAACGGGTACATTTGTTGTCTCTAAGCTTTTTAATAGTTGTAAATATTGTATTGACCAGTTGTAAATAATAGAATTGGGGCGTTGCTTGGTAGCACTTGATTGAGTATATTTAGAACACAGTGGTGCTAAAGTGATATCTTTCACCACAAATTGAATACAAAATGACGACTTTTGTTGAGTAAAATAGCAGTTGCCGGATAAAGCCTGAAGAAGTCAGCACTTTTGAAGTGAGAGATTGGGATTCATGTCAGGCAGCTAGGCTTTGATGCATGAATAACCGGAATTACAGGAATACAGGGCGGCAGGATTCACTGACTACTACACATGCGATTTTGCAAGAAGCTGTCGACTGTGGGGTTTTACTACTGCGAGAAAACATAAAAGAGATAGAATGACAAATCGGCGCACATCAACGTTGAATGAAAACGAAGGATAATTTGAGAAACGAAGAATAACCCCGTAGCATTGGGAAAGTTTTCTGCCTCAAGGAAAGAGAACTCATGATTAGGGGGTGCGGAGTCAGGCCCTAAGCAAAACCGATAAAAGGCAACCTCGGAAGTACGAAATTCCCATCATTATCAGACAGAACCATCCCAAACGACTACGATTTGTGACTTTCACCGACAGACAGGTGAGCTTTACAGTAATTCACTTTGTGGTTTAGAGTAATCGAGATGGAAAATTTACATAGTACTTAACGTAAATGGTGTCGAACAATAATTTTCAATATTCGATCATAGATATCCGCGGTTCTCAATTTTCCTCAGGATTGAGTTAAACTACCATTCAAACGGAACTCTAAATAAAACATCCAGTATAGTTGTGTAGCGGGATATATGGTGACAATTTCGGGTTATTGATTGTAAATAGATTTATATCGACAAGAATTTCTGTTCGACTTATTGTGTTGTTATGTGGCTAGGATCCGACTAATTCACGAATGTCAGCATCCAATGAAAAAGGAGAGAACTGCCAACCAATGGAATGGCACTTGATGCGTGAGAGCGATAGTTTAAGGAGAACAGTTCAGTCTCGCACACAAAACCCAGCCTAAGCATAGCAAATTCGTTGAAATGGATCGGATGTTCACCGCAAAAGTGAAGCACAACAAGTTATCCAAGAGTGATCCTACTACTGGTCAGTGCTCATTGGATTCCCCAGTAAGCCGCAGTGAAGCATACACCCGTAGTCACAGCTTTTCAGACATCTTACTAACCAAGTTTCGGAGGATATCACGACGCTTGCGTTATCACATGTTTCACAGCGTTTCAATATTTCATGAGGATGTTTGTGGTCTCACTTGGGCTGCTGCACACGACATACTGCCGCCTCCGCCCTCCGAATGCAGGTGGTCCCAATCCAGTTTGGCCATGCGTAAATTGCCCGCTCAGGACTCCTCTAATCAACTGATACTCCAAGACTATATTGAACATGAAGGCAGATTCTATTGTCTGAACTTACCCTTCACTCCGCATTCCCCAACCAAGATACAAGAGAAATCAAGTTTCGTTGTATTGTCACCGAACAATTCTGGCCTCGACAGAACCGCATATACCAGTTTATCCCAAGCTTTTGAAAGACGAGTTCGCCTACAAGATACAGAACAAGAGCAACTTGGCAAAGTCATTTTGTGTCCCGAATATGCCAATTCAAAAACAAAAACTAAACGGGCCTCGCAACCTAGTAATTGGGACTGTATCATTGAAAAATTACCTCTATGCACCCACTCTCCCACGCGAATTCATCATTTTTCTGTGCCAACTTCGGACAACTTTGCTCACTTATGGCGGAGAAAAAAGTCTAAACAGTCCTATATTCGGAGTCACTCCGCACCTGTAGTCGGTGAAACCGGAATCTATGATGAACAAAATCAACCTGGAGATGAGTCTTGTTACACACTTCCTCAAGGCAACGTAGAATGTGAGAAGTGTAGATTGGAAAGGTCGATTAATGACAAATCGTCTGCCAAGAGCTATTCATACCAAAAGCGAACTAGAAAAAGGGGGTTGATAGCGAATCCGGAAGAAAATGTGTGGACTATACAAGGACAGTGTTTTGATCCAGAAACTCTGGGAAGGGCAATCCAAGAGAGTAACATGGAAAGGATGCGTAAAACAATCCTTGAATCAGACGGAGAACCACAGCTTGAAGTGGGAATCACAAAGGCTACGTTGAGTCATACCAGGGAAATTCAAGCAAGAGTTGAGCGTAGCTCAGCTCAACAAAATACATTTTGTACCAAGTCTCTGAGCGAATCCTTGCCTTGTTCTGATTTCTTCACCAATCCCAAAAGTCGGAATACCTTTTTCTCTAGACTATGCAGAGTCAGTTGCTATGGAAGGTCACCACCCCAGGTCAGTAATAAACCAATAAGGCGCTACACTTAACTAGTCGTTTCTGGTATTTCTGTACAATTTTCCATGAGCAAAAGTCCTCAAACATCAAAATCTTCTGTTTCTGCGTCCCACCTTTGATTTAATTGGGAGCACATTAATCCGGTTATTATTTTATTGCGCACTATACCTGAATTCACCGTTCTTGAGACGCATTCAGAATTTAGGGAAAAGCAATAAAAATAGGGAATCTAAAAGTTTTTTTTCAATGTGTCCTGTCACTAATAGACATCCTAAGCGGTAGAAAGTTTCAAGAATAAATTAATGAAACAGTTCATCTTCCGTGAGAGTAACATTCGCATCCACCGCGATAATGAATCAGCTAACAGTCAGGTGTAAATCGGCTGCCAAGTAAGCTCACATTGTCATTCAAGATCTATAATGCACATGAAGTCTGGTTATGAGTTTTAGGAGGTCGAGGACCGGAATTAGTGTCCGTTAACTTTATCCATCCATCTCAAGGAACGTTTGATTTGGTCTTATCGTGCAAGACTGAGCAACCTTTTGAATTGCCGTCGTTGAATTATTTCAAACTATCTCACCATGTGTCTACATCGGTCTTCCAAACACAAAGTTGTGCTGTCTTTCGCCTACATCAGACCGCTGCATGGCATCCAAAAACATAACCGTTTGACATATTCAGCCATACGCCCTTATTTTCCAAGTGGTGTCACTAATTAACTTCGACCATTCATTTGTCAGTTTGCTTCCGGAACTGAACTGATGGTCTTTGATGTCCCACGTCAAAGATGTAATCCATGTAAAATTTAACCTTTCGCCAGTGGTTGTGATTCCGAACAAGCAGGATTCGATTTGTCCGCTGCACATATTTCAATGATGTCCACCGAATACACGGATGTCTCCATTGGGTAGAGTCGATCTTTTCAAGTTTCGGTTTACTTCTAGGATTCCGGAAAAATCTCTTTCAATTTTGATGTACATACTAGCAGCCAGAATATGTTGCATTCAAGCTGTCTACCAGAAGCGATAAAACGTCAGCTCCACTGTTGTCACGCACAACCAGATGTCCTCGACTGATCTGTACTCACTGCCGGTTCGGTAAACATTTCTAACGAGCCCAAAATGAACACTCGTCCCGTGTAATTATAGTGGTCACATTCTCCACATCTGGCCAAACATAACAGACAGAGTTAGCCACTTTCCGTGACCAGTGCTTTCTGTTATCCAATGTTAATAGGATTAACTGTATTGTGATCCTCTAGGTTTGCTATTCTTGGTACAGTGTACAAGTCTTTAATATCGGCTCATATGGGGTTTTAACTTGTCTTCCGAGCTTGCCAAGTAAACTAACAAGGGAACATTGAATTATATATCTATCTATATAATGCAACACTGCCAAAAAAACTGCGTGTTAGGGCCTTTCACTGCTAGGCGGAAATTATAATGGTTTCAGCGATGGCCCATGCCTAACCAAGTTTTATGCAGAGCTTCATTCCCCTTGAGCCAAAAACGTGTAAAACCCGCAAGGGTTCACACTCCAATGAATTTTTGAGCTCGCTGGTGTTGTCTCAAAAGCAGAGCAGTTGACAAGCTCGGTAAACAGATATTTCACCGGTCAACAGCTACTTTAGACAGACTGCCGAACACGGGAACAGTCATCAGCAAAAGAATGCTAGAAGTGCAATTTTGGATACTTAGTGCATATCATAATTTGGACCCGAAGTCAGTCCTCTGAGTTATTTGTTGCATGCCATAACCGCGTTCGGAAGTTTACCGATTACTGACCTTGTCTATAGCGGTTCTTCTTCATGATCTGGTTCTCGAAGAATAAAGCAATACAGTGATTAGCATATTCTATCCTAGCCAGGTCGAGGCAATTGTTTACCACCCAGACTTAGCGCCTGAACTACCCCTTAGTAAAGGATAGATCAGTCACTTTGTGCACATACTACGATTCGACTGCATGCCGACTACAGTCGTGTGAAATCGATAAAATTTCTGGCTAGTTTTTCTCGTTTTTTCCCTATTTATTATGCACATGTGCGAGTCTGAGAATGATAGGGCCATAAAGATGGCTGTACTATTCTTTTGTTCTGTGCGTGGTCGGTGAGCATAAAATGCAAAGATAACCATTGTTTTACAATGCAAGCGAGGTCTGTTACTCTTACCAATGGTTTTTAGCTGAAACATTTTCCGTTTCGATCTCATGAAAAAACCGATTGCGTTCAAATTCCTAGCCGAGGCAGATGGCACGCACCTGCCGTCGTTACACACTGTCCAGTGATAAACTCAGCTAATCTCTAAAGAAGGCCGTACTTAGAATTAATTCGTTTATTTAGAATTTAAGCCGATAGAAGTCGAGTAAGTGAATCACTAACAACTAGACCGGGGACATCCATCATTTTAGCAGATCTGCTCACTTGTTTGGCGCCGATTAAATAGATTTCGGATTGAAATCAAGATACTGTACCGGAAATACAATCAGTATTAGAGATCGATATTTAAACAAACCGTTTGGTGACGAGTCGAGATGGTATCAGTCGTATCCGCACGACTTACCAAAGTGTCATATATTTTCCAACAATCTATTAAATTTTCTTACTAGTAAGATCCGTGAGAGTAAACATTTTAGGAAATCAAGTAAAAGGGTTTAGTTAAATTTCCACCGCTGTGCAGGCTAAACAGAGAGTTTGGTAGAAAATAATCCCTCAGGGCTCACTTCCTCTACTCCACCTCAGGCACCTTATGCAAGTACAGTCTGAAAACGCATCCGTCACAAAGGGACTGGATCTAACATCGTGTGACAGTTTGTGCACCACTTTGCAATACCGCCGGGTGTACAAGCTGCTGTCACAGGGCCTCTGTATGTTCTTCAGTGACCGGTAGACTGACCAACAGAGTCTTGTGATACTCCAAGTTTGGGGGTGGAACATTTCCGAAGACTTAACCCCTTCAGAATTCAGACTACCCTGGCAATCCCATGCCATCTAGCAAATCCCAGCGGTTGACCGTCGGATTCGGGGGCTTTGGGTGAGTGCATAAGTCATCCTCCTGTCTAGACTTGGGAACACAGGTAACATTTTAATTCGCACGAGAATCCGAACTGCACGACTAGAAATAACCCCATGCCACATCATTCATTGCAAAGTCCAATTTCCAGGTTGCGTTTGTTTCTGTATGAAATAGAATGAGTAGTCAAAATAGGATACTGGTGACACTAATTGTCCTCCTTTTGCTTTCAGATATTCTTTCATCCCGCCTCCTTCAAGCCGTTGCTAGTGTACATTCTGTAGGCTTAGCTTTAAGAGCTGACTGAATAGCGCGCCGCCCATAGCCGCTTGCTGCAACATCTGTCACCACCATTCTAAACACTGACATCACTCCTAGAACACTAATAGTCAGTTCATCTGAAGGGCATATGTACTCAGACGTTTCTTCCTATCTGGACTGATGATTTAGCTGGTTTCCCATCAGTTTGTCCTTTAATCCGGGTGCTCACTGCCGGTGGTCCAGAAGTTGACACAGCTTGATCTGCCGGCGTTGTTATTTCCTAAGCCATCTAGTGAAAGCAGCTGTGTTAGACTGGATTTTTTGTGCGTGATTCCTTTTGGAACATACTTTAAACCGTTCCGTAAACGCGCGGGCAGTCACCACTTTTTCATTGTAGCTATCTGCGGTCTAGTGGTTTGTGTTCCTTACAGAATCACAGATAATTCTTACGGTACCTTGAGCTATCCTTTACAGCTGGGCAAGGAGTCAAACGTCGTTGTTAGTGCCAGGGTCCATAACGCGCATGTAAATAGACTTCTTAGTGTGGTCGTTTTAGTCTTGAGTCAAGACTTGTGGACAATGGACGAAGACCGCCGATCACAGACGGTGACTTCTGAAATAGAAACTTCATAGTCGCACGATTCTTCTCATAAGTGGGTTAAACTCAAGCCCGGAAAATCAGATTACCATGAACTACAGGTTGCGTAAGTCAGCTAATACTTTCACTTGTTCTGAACTACCTATCCGGACGCTGAGCATGCTTTCATCAGCTACCATTGTTTGGGTATTTGAAGTGTTTACATCCTGCCGGCTCATTGAAGCGCTCTTCTAACCCTAATATGTAACAGTCTATAGAGGAGAATGTCGGTAGCTCAGGTAGCGTAGATGGTCGTTGGCTTGTTCGCTGAGCTGGGCAATTTGGTTGCAAACGTTTCATCACCAATCGAGGTGACATCATCAGTGCGTAGTTGTGCG